TATATATATATATATATATATATATATATATATATATATATATATATTTGTGTTATATATATATATATATATATATATATATATATATATATATATATATATATATATGTATGTATAACAGACTGTGTGAATTGTCGTTTGCGTGTTGATTATTGTATAGTTCTGTCGACATCTACTACATCATGGATAGTTGCGATTGCACATGAGATCATAGCTTGGTACGGAATATTGCTCCGAATTTCACACTCACTCAATTTTCCCTGTCTATTATTTCAGGGGAGATTCAACGCCAAGCTCGAGAGGAGTATGAGACAAAACAGGGCGAAATAAAGCAGCCAGGAGGTGAGTGTAGATGATGTGTTGGGGTTTGGTGTTGTATAGATGATTTTTGTATCTGGTCAGGTCATCTGAATATCAACATTTGCGTATCATATGGAATATTTGTGTCCATACTGCATATCTGGGCCGTTTTAAATTGTAGCAATTTGTTCCCATCCAGATCTTTACATTATGGAGTATCGCAAGCATGTTTATGCATGCACTGAATCTGGCGCTGGACGTTTCAGGCATTTTTTTGTTGCCAGCTAGTATCTGTGCAGGATTATGATATGGGTTGCAATAATTATTCAATATTTAAACATGTTTCTACTTTTGTGGATAGTTGATTGCCTCTATATTTGACACCGCTCTGCTATGTTTTTTTCTAAGTTTTTAAGTGTGTTTTCAGTTGTATTCCTTATTTTATGCAGTGGATTGGTGCATATACACACAATTTTTAGAATAGCATGCACAGCTTTCGCTGGATATTGATTGGATAGCCATTCTTTTTACGATACGACGAGACCTGGCCCATTGCGATCTTTCAATTTGATATACTAAATTGATCTTTTCGTACAACAGATATGAAGAAATGGACCGATCCATTCGACAAGAAATAGCCCGTCTTCTGAAAGCAATCCGCCCTCGTATGAAGTCCGTCGATCTTTTTCGATTCCGCAAGCGCTCTCAATCTGTCACGCGTGTCTACTGTGCTTTGTCGGATACACATAAGTGTAAAGTACGAAGTGTGAAAGTGGAGGCTCATGGAAGATATAATCGGAGGGCTAAGAGTCGATTTTGCCTTAATTCTAGGCGAAACTGTCAGCTTTGCAATTTTTGCCGACTTTGTCAGAGATTGCGCTGAGTCCTTCGGAGGAGTATTTTGCTTCCACCTTAAGATGCTGTACTGTCCTTCGGAGTTGACCGCTAGTTCGTTCGTTTGTTAGGACAGGTAGGACCTTCTTCTGAAAGCGATGCAAAGTGTGTATCACATTACTCTCCAGATAGTTCAAACCCAAATTGCGCTATGCACATCCGGGTCAGTATGCGTGTCCAGCGGAGGCGCGTCAGCATCAGAAGACATTGAGGGCGGTGAATATTGACAGATGCCTAGATATGTCAAATGTTCGTCGCAGGACTTGTTCGATGGATGTATATTGGTGAACCCATAGCTTAGTGGGCTATGACCGTGCCGAGGTTTCTTTATTGTGCACTGAGGCCTAATACACCACTTATATGCAGCTGGCGAGAGAAGGGGTTGATACAAATACGCACTTTTAGATAATCTTTGGAGGGGGACGAGTGTAATCGAACTTTCATCTTGAGAGTATGCGGACGCGTTATATAGTATGTCATTTTTAGATGACACATATATTTTATGTCTATAGATGTGTCACATATAGCGTATCTGCTGATGGGACTAGCAAGTGCGGTCTTGTGCTGAACTTAGCAGAATGAAGGGCGTTTTCATGGCACATGCAGATATCATATCATATAAACTTACATATATTATCGTCACCGAATTGATAGAGCAATTGCATTCACCACGTCAGCTCGATGAGCAGAGGATGATCCCCGTTTGGACTATATCTTTGATAAAGGAAATATTCTCATATAAGTGAGAGGACAATGGAACGTACGAGCATGGAGGCAGTACATAGCGGGTTAACTGGAGAGATAGTATTTAGCGAAGATCATAATGCTATTTAATCAAGATCAATAAAAATGCTATCGTCGTGAGCTCAATTTGCTGACACTACGCTCAATGTGGCAAATTGTGTATTTTGCACTGATCAGTACACTCATATGGCAGTTTGTTGGTCCTTCGGTATACCAGCTCCATGACTTGCGTGCGTGAGGGGATCTGCTGCTGGATGATAGTTCTACGGATATACCTTCGACCCCGACTTGCTACACCAAAGCCTTGGCCAGGTCGAGTAGGGTTGGCATGACTTCGAGGCGCGAGTATGATCTTCTGGGCGACGGGACATAAAAAACTTTAAATAAGAAGATTTTATGATTTTATTTTTTTGTCTTTAAAGGAACAAATATGAGGAGTTGAGGACGGGGGAAATACATATCTTCAGCCTTCAGGTAGAATGGGAGAATTATACATTGCGTAAATACAGATCATCAAGCTCACTATGTGTAATACATATTCAGTTTTAGTTTCACAGCCATGTTCAGTATTCCGGTATTTACACTTTCACAGCCTCCGCTCTCCATCATGATATTATAAACATATATGAAATATCATAGCGGATAGCCTCTTACTTCTTGTATGTATTTTAGGAAGCAATGCATTTTTTGCTTAGACTCAGTTTTGAATGAACATTATTTTTAAAAAAGTATGTAGAGATCAAAGGCAAAGCTCATCTGAAAGAAAGACTGATCACACAGACACTCACTGATCACTAAAAGAGTTTTTTTGGGGTCAATTTTTATGTCCTACTACGGACTCTTCCGTTCTCCCTCATATTTTTACTTTTCATTCTATATGGTCATGTTTTTAACTTTTTATTGATGCAAGAAACCTGAGTCATCCATCGTTCACAAGTTGACAACCAATGAATACGATGCCAGTGATGACGCACAAATTCCAATCTATCGCATACTCCCACAGGCACAGTCACAAACTCACAATCACAATGTCGCACAAAGCTCTACATAATTTTATTAACAGTTTCACACTACATACAGAGGAAGTGTTGAGAACTGAACTTTAAAAGCACATAAGCACACGATTAAGAAGCCGACAAAACGTTCACGCGCAAGCCCACTCGTACTTTCATGTCAATTTGATGCACAGTGTAAGAATAGGTAGTTTTCATCAACATTCAAAAGTCACTATCATTCTGAGCCCTGTGTAGTAGAGTGCACTAGCACGATGTCGACTCAGTCCATCCCGCTTGTGGATAACACTCTGGAACAAATCAATAGCAAAAAGAAGTCTACAATCAGTCAGGAAATAGGAAGTAATAGTGCGGATATGCTCGATACTATAAGCGATCCGAAAGCTATCAATGCTTCTCCAACGCCCCAACCGAAACATATGCCATCGCTCAGCACAGGTCATACAGACAGTTTCGGACTTCAGGGATCAAATGTTTCACTACCACCGCCACCTATGAATGAGAATATGCACCCCGAAGATTTGAGCTATACTAGGAAGAAGTTAGTGTTCTTCCTTTTGGTACTTCTGGAGGCTATAGTGAATTTTGACTCAGGCAAGTGGTTAGAATGATAGAAATACAGTTTCTCGGTGAATTGTAATCTGATATACCAGCGAAAAATGATTTCGTGTGTATAGCCCAGCAAGTTATGAACTGTAATGCTCAATGCAGCACCAAAAAACAACTAACCGTTCCAAAATATCAACGATTCAATTTGAAGTACACACACAGACACACACACACATATACATAT